GGCGTGGATTTCTAAAAATATTTTTTCAAGTACTCTTAAAATGCGTGGATTTCTAAAAATATTTTTTCAAGTACTCTTAAAATGCGTGGATTTCTAAAACTATTTTTCTAAATACTATTGATAGGCGTGGGTTTTTAAAAATATTTTTCTAAAGACTACTGATAGGCGTGGATTTTAAAAATATTTTTCTAAAGACTATTGATAGGCATGGATTTTAAAAATATTTTTCTAAAGACTGTTGATAGGCGTGGATTTTAAAAATATTTTTCTAAAGACTATTGATAGGCGTGGACTTTTAAAAATATTTTTCTAAAGACTATTGATAGCGTGGATTTTAAAAATATTTTTCTAAAGACTACTGATAGGCGTGGATTTTTAAAATATTTTTCTAAAGACTATTGATAGGCGTGGATTTTAAAAATATTTTTCTAAAGACTATTGATAGGCGTGGATTTTTAAAAATATTTTTCTAAAGACTATTGATAGGCGTGGATTTTTAAAATATTTTTCTAAAGACTATTGATAGGCGTGGATTTTTAAAATATTTTTCTAAAGACTATTGATAGGCGTGGATTTTTAAAATACTTTTCTAAAGACTATTGATAGGCGTGGATTTTTAAAATATTTTTCTAAAGACTATTGATAGGCGTGGATTTTTAAAATACTTTTCTAAAGACTATTGATAGGCGTGGATTTTTAAAATATTTTTCTAAAGACTATTGATAGGCGTGGATTTTTAAAATACTTTTCTAAAGACTATTGATAGGCGTGGATTTTTAAAATACTTTTCTAAAGACTATTGATAGGCGTGGATTTTTAAATATTTTTCTAAAGACTATTGATAGGCGTGAATTTTAAAAAATATTTTCTACGGACTATTGATAGGTGCGAATTTTTAAAAATATTTTCTAAAGACTATTGATAGGCGTGAATTTTTAAAAATATTTTCTAAGGACTATTGATAGGTGCGAATTTTTAAAAATATTTTCTAAAGACTATTGATAGGCGTGGATTTTTAAAATATTTTTCTAAAGACTATTGATAGGCGTGAATTTTTAAAAATATTTTCTAAGGACTATTGATAGGTGCGAATTTTTAAAAATATTTTCTAAGGACTATTGATAGGTGCGAATTTTTAAAAATATTTTCTAAGGACTATTGATAGGTGCGAATTTTTAAAAATACTTTCTAAAGACTATTGATAGGCGTGGATTTTTAAAATATTTTTCTAAAGACTATTGATAGGCGTGGATTTTTAAAAATATTTTTCTAAAGACTATTGATAGGCGTGGATTTTTAAAAATATTTTTCTAAAGACTATTGATAGGCGTGGATTTTTAAAAATATTTTTCTAAAGACTATTGATAGGCGTGGATTTTTAAAAATATTTTTCTAAAGACTATTGATAGGCGTGGATTTTTAAAAATATTTTTCTAAAGACTATTGATAGGCGTGGATTTTTAAAAATATTTTTCTAAAGACTATTGATAGGCGTGGATTTTTAAAAATATTTTTCTAAAGACTATTGATAGGCGTGGATTTTTAAAAATATTTTTCTAAAGACTATTGATAGGCGTGGATTTTTAAAAATATTTTTCTAAAGACTATTGATAGGCGTGGATTTTTAAAAATATTTTTCTAAAGACTATTGATAGGCGTGGATTTTTAAAAATATTTTTCTAAAGACTATTGATAGGCGTGGATTTTTAAAAATATTTTTCTAAAGACTATTGATAGGCGTGGATTTTTAAAAATATTTTTCTAAAGACTATTGATAGGCGTGGATTTTTAAAAATATTTTTCTAAAGACTATTGATAGGCGTGGATTTTTAAAAATATTTTTCTAAAGACTATTGATAGGCGTGGATTTTTAAAAATATTTTTCTAAAGACTATTGATAGGCGTGGATTTTTAAAAATATTTTTCTAAAGACTATTGATAGGCGTGGATTTTTAAAAATATTTTTCTAAAGACTATTGATAGGCGTGGATTTTTAAAAATATTTTTCTAAAGACTATTGATAGGCGTGGATTTTTAAAAATATTTTTCTAAAGACTATTGATAGGCGTGGATTTTTAAAAATATTTTTCTAAAGACTATTGATAGGCGTGGATTTTTAAAAATATTTTTCTAAAGACTATTGATAGGCGTGGATTTTTAAAAATATTTTTCTAAAGACTATTGATAGGCGTGGATTTTTAAAAATATTTTTCTAAAGACTATTGATAGGCGTGGATTTTTAAAAATATTTTTCTAAAGACTATTGATAGGCGTGGATTTTTAAAAATATTTTTCTAAAGACTATTGATAGGCGTGGATTTTTAAAAATATTTTTCTAAAGACTATTGATAGGCGTGGATTTTTAAAAATATTTTTCTAAAGACTATTGATAGGCGTGGATTTTTAAAAATATTTTTCTAAAGACTATTGATAGGCGTGGATTTTTAAAAATATTTTTCTAAAGACTATTGATAGGCGTGGATTTTTAAAAATATTTTTCTAAAGAATATTGATAGGCGTGGATTTTTAAAAATATTTTTCTAAAGAATATTGATAGGCGTGGATTTTTAAAAATATTTTTCTAAAGACTATTGATAGGCGTGGATTTTTAAAAATATTTTTCTAAAGACTATTGATAGGCGTGGATTTTTAAAAATATTTTTCTAAAGACTATTGATAGGCGTGGATTTTTAAAAATATTTTTCTAAAGACTATTGATAGGCGTGGATTTTTAAAAATATTTTTCTAAAGACTATTGATAGGCGTGGATTTTTACAAATATTTTTCTAAAGACTATTGATAGGCGTGGATTTTTACAAATATTTTTCTAAAGACTATTGATAGGCGTGGATTTTTAAAAATATTTTTCTAAAGACTATTGATAGGCGTGGATTTTAACAAATATTTTCTAAAGACTATTGATAGGCGTGGATTTTTAAAAATATTTTTCTAAAGACTATTGATAGGCGTGGATTTTTACAAATATTTTTCTAAAGACTATTGATAGGCGTGGATTTTTACAAATATTTTTCTAAAGACTATTGATAGGCGTGGATTTTTACAAATATTTTTCTAAAGACTATTGATAGGCGTGGATTTTTAAAAATATTTTTCTAAAGACTATTGATAGGCGTGGATTTTTAAAAATATTTTTCTAAAGACTATTGATAGGCGTGGATTTTTAAAAATATTTTTCTAAAGACTATTGATAGGCGTGGATTTTTAAAAATATTTTTCTAAAGACTATTGATAGGCGTGGATTTTTAAAAATATTTTTCTAAAGACTATTGATAGGCGTGGATTTTTAAAAATATTTTTCTAAAGACTATTGATAGGCGTGGATTTTTAAAAATATTTTTCTAAAGACTATTGATAGGCGTGGATTTTTAAAAATATTTTTCTAAAGACTATTGATAGGCGTGGATTTTTAAAAATATTTTTCTAAAGACTATTGATAGGCGTGGATTTTTAAAAATATTTTTCTAAAGACTATTGATAGGCGTGGATTTTTAAAAATATTTTTCTAAAGACTATTGACAGGCGTGGATTTTTAAAAATATTTTTCTAAAGACTATTGATAGGCGTGGATTTTTAAAAATATTTTTCTAAAGACTATTGATAGGCGTGGATTTTTAAAAATATTTTTCTAAAGACTATTGACAGGCGTGGATTTTTAAAAATATTTTTCTAAAGACTATTGATAGGCGTGGATTTTTAAAAATATTTTTCTAAAGACTATTGATAGGCGTGGATTTTTAAAAATATTTTTCTAAAGACTATTGATAGGCGTGGATTTTTAAAAATATTTTTCTAAAGACTATTGATAGGCGTGGATTTTTAAAAATATTTTTCTAAAGACTATTGATAGGCGTGGATTTTTAAAAATATTTTTCTAAAGACTATTGATAGGCGTGGATTTTTAAAAATATTTTTCTAAAGACTATTGATAGGCGTGGATTTTTAAAAATATTTTTCTAAAGACTATTGATAGGCGTGGATTTTTAAAAATATTTTTCTAAAGACTATTGATAGGCGTGGATTTTTAAAAATATTTTTCTAAAGACTATTGATAGGCGTGGATTTTTAAAAATATTTTTCTAAAGACTATTGATAGGCGTGGATTTTTAAAAATATTTTTCTAAAGTCTATTGATAGGCGTGGATTTTTAAAAATATTTTCTAAAGACTATTGATAGGCGTGGATTTTTAAAAATATTTTTCTAAAGACTATTGATAGGCGTGGATTTTTAAAAATATTTTTCTAAAGACTATTGATAGACGTGGATTTTTAAAAATATTTTTCTAAAGACTATTGATAGGCGTGGATTTTTAAAAATATTTTTCTAAAGACTATTGATAGGCGTGGATTTTTAAAAATATTTTTCTAAAGACTATTGATAGGCGTGGATTTTTAAAAATATTTTTCTAAAGTCTATTGATAGGCGTGGATTTTTAAAAATATTTTTCTAAAGACTATTGATAGGCGTGGATTTTTAAAAATATTTTTCTAAAGACTATTGATAGGCGTGGATTTTTAAAAATATTTTTCTAAAGACTATTGATAGACGTGGATTTTTAAAAATACTTTTCTAAAGACTATTGATAGGCGTGGATTTTTAAAAATATTTTTCTAAAGACTATTGATAGGCGTGGATTTTTAAAAATATTTTTCTAAATACTATTGATAGGCGTGGATTTTTAAAAATATTTTTCTAAATACTATTGATAGGCGTGGATTTTTAAAAAATATTTTTCTAAATACTATTGATAGGCGTGGATTTTTAAAAATATTTTTCTAAACACTATTGACCCTCGATTTTTAAAAATATGTTTTCCAAGGACTACTGACCCTGTATTTTTAAAAATATTTTTCCAATGATTTAAGGATCTAAAAAAATCCAAGGACTGTTAATAACAGGATTTTAAATCTATATATAAATAAAATTTATTTCTCCAGGGTTACCCTAAACTAATAATTTTCCATTTCTTCTCTCTTTCTAGTGAAATTGCATTAATGAAACTATCATCGCGTAGAGAAAAAAATCATTCCGAAGAACGTGGCAATAAACCGCCAAAAAATTGTGTTTTCCACGAATAATGTGTAAGTGAATGAATGAGTGATGCATGCCATGGCATGGCAGGGTATGAAAATTACCACAAAAACCGCATGTAAACCAGTGATGCAAAACCAACCGAAATAATTTACAAAATATTTAAGTGCAAAAATAACAACAACGGCGATGAAAATAGCCACAAATGGTTTTGGCCAACTAAATCAACTATTTAATAAAGGCATCAAAAATTCATGGCAAATTTTCATTTTCTATGAAAATTAAATAGCAAAACCAAAAATATTTATATTGTGCAATAACAGGGGAAAAAGAGAAATAAAACATTTAAGTGAGTGCAAAATGATGTAAAAATAAATTTTAAAAAAAATGTATATAAAATGTTGATAGAATACAAGTATAAAAAATGCCATAAAAATACCTGACAAAAAATCATAAATTAATTAAAAATTATTTTTATCATTTAAAAATGAAATTTGTGTTACGGTGTAAAGAATATAATGCGAAATTTTTATTGTGCCTGTGGTAGTCATAAAAAATTAATGTGTTCGCAATTTATATCCTCATTAATGTCAAATTCTGCGTAACAAGAATACAAGCTACTTTTTGTCAATATTCAATGAAAAAGTAATGGTTTTTCGTATTTTTTAAACAAAAATCTTAAAAAATAACGGCATCCATAAATAAAAAATAATTATTCAGATCTATGTTGTGAATATTCAGCAAATTAACGAAGATGCACTTAAGATAACTTATTGAAAATATAAAAAAGACAACATATACGATTTAAACTGGTCGACTTTTTAAAACCTGTAACATGTGTCGATATATAATTAAATTAATTTTTTGAGTGGTTATTAGATTTCTATGATTGATGTGAGATCGTAAATGCATGTGAAAAATAGGTCATCCGGCGAGCTTCCCTTTTTTATTTTACAAGAATTTAGAAATAATTAGAAGACCTACTAATTGTGTACTTTTGTGGCTTTTTGTACTAATAAATATATGAATTTTATAAAAATTGTACTTTATCCAAAGTTGGATTCAGTCCGTCCATCTCTATGAATGGCAGTTGCCAACGATAGTTCTCAAAGGGAGTATTCGATATCGTCCATGTTTGGTACAGCATAATATTATTATTTTCAAACTTAAGTCGGATATAGGCAATATACTGCTTCTGGTACCACCCTCCCCACGGACGGTCAAAAATGTCAACGAAAATAATTTTCACCATAGAAAGTAGACGGATTAAACTTTCCTCATTTGTGTATGAGTGTAAGTAAGTAAGGACAGGTATGAAAATAATCTAATAACGAACCACTCTTTCTAGTACCTTGCCCAACAAAGTTCTCCAAACTTCGAATATCTCAATATTTTTTCTAATTCCATATCTAGTTTGAAGATAGGATATAGCTGAACACTAATCATGATACCTCCCTCAATTTTAAGTAATTATCTCATTAGTAATGCTAAATTGTGTGGTGCAGGGTATCATGTCTTTGTGCATTTGTTTGAAACATGAAGAAGGAAGAGAGATTTTCTTTTGATGATGGGCATAAAATTGCATTTTCAGTCCAGTTATGCATGCGCGTCCGTCTGTCCATATATCTTGTAAACAAATTACAGGTCGCATTTATTGTCCGATTGAGATAAAATGAAAGGAAAATCGATTTGGTATTTAAATCACTAAATTAGAAATATGCACTTCATAACAAAGATAGCAGATACAGCTTAGGAAACCCTCTCTCAAATGTAATCCTGTTTGATTCAGATTTGGGTATAACTCCCACACATATCTTTATCCGATTTCAGGTTTACTGAGCACCAAATGTTTAATGTCAGCTCAAATGTAGTGGAATTCGCGGCATCTGACAGAATTTCGCATAAAAGCAAGTACTTCAAATTTACGATTTGGGGTTTAAGTACCTCACATTCGAAATATGCATTCGACAACAATGATATATGGTACCAGTTATTAGATACAGCCCAGAAACACCTCTGTCAAAATTTATCAAGATCGGTTCAGATTTGGATAGATCGGTTCAGATATCATCCGATTTCGGGTTAATTGCGCACCAAATGGTCAATATATCTCAAAAAGTCCTAAATTTTGGTACATCCGACCGAATTTAGTCTAGAAACAAGCACATCGAATTCGGAGAAAAACGGTTAAGATATAGCTATAGCTGCCATATATAATCCATCCGATTTGGTGCTTAAGTCCCTCACATTCATTATATGCACTCTACAACAATGATATTTGCTACCAGATGTCAGATAAATCTCGGAAATATATCTGCTAAATATTATCGAAATCAGTTCAGTTTGGGGTATACCTCCTATGTATATATCTGTCCTATTTCAGGTTTATTGTACATAAAATATTTAATATCAGCCCAAATGTAGTGGATTTTGGGACATCCGACCGAATTCAGCCTAAAAGCAAATACTTTCATTTTCCTGAAAATCGATTCATATATAGCTATGGCTCCATATATATGTATCATCCGATTTGGGGTTGGGATTTAAGTCCCTCACATTCGAAATATACGCTCCACAACAATGATAGTTGTTACCATATATTAAATACATCTCAGAAATAACTCTACCAAATATTATAGAAATCGCTTCAGATTTGAATATTGCTTCAAATAATTAAGATCAGGGCGACTGGAGTGGATTTTGGCAAATTCAAATGAATTTTTCAATTTGGTACAACTCGGTTTTCAAATATCCAATGATCCGATATATATTTTTAGACACTCCAGCATAGTCCATACCTTAGCTTAATAAGAAAATTAAGTTGGTTGATAACATTTTATTCTGCTGTATTTTATATCTGCAAGACTCTTGGTTGAAAATGAGCCAATTAGAGACACGTTTTATATAGCCCACATATATATCCCCCATATAATTGTACCGCCAGACTTAAGGTGGGTTGGTAAATTGAACCACAATTAGAACCCGTAAATTAGCAGTTTGCATTTCCTGCATGTAGGCAACATCCTACAACGTCTATACAGGTCAAAGTTTTTATATAGTCCACATATATCTCCAGCTCAGATTTTCCGGAATTGTTTCAAATTTGGAATTTGTAGTATCCAATTAATACCCATTATCCACTATCAGAAAATTACTTATACAAGACGACGTCTTCGTATAGCTCCTAAATAGCCGTGCCTCTTTATATGATATTATTTTGATTATACCGGAATTGTATCAAATTTCGTATTGTACGTTTGTAATGGGTGCTAGAGCCTGGGGCCTAAAATTGCTTAGGCAGGGCCACGGCTTCGTATAGCCCCCATATAATGACATTTCCCTATAATCGGAATCTTGATGATTTAAGCAACATGAATCACGAAAATGACAGAAAAAATTGCCTATGCAGGTACACGGCTTCGTATAGCCCCCATATAATGGTACCTCCCTATATTCGGAATCTTTATGATTTTAGCGAAATTTATGATTTAGATCTCACCGAAATTATTTCAAATTTTGTATTTGAAGTTCTTAATGGGTATTACCTCCTATGAGAGAAAATTTCCTATATTGGAAATTTCCATCCTTGTATAGCTGTATCTCTCCATATGCAATATATTGACTATGTTTGCCCTACTTTTCAACAAAATTATTTCCGATTCGGAATTTGTAGTTCGCAGAGGGTACCACTTCCTATGACAGAAAATTAGCAAGATAAGTTCACGTACCGTATATAGCTACCCTCCAGTATTTTGACGATTTATGTTATATTTTTCAAAATAGTTCTCCTAAACTTGATGTTTGGAGCTCGTTAACGGACCACCTTCTCTGGCAGATAGATTGGAAATTTTTAAAATAATTATATTTTGCATTTTTTTTTCCTTCAAATTGCTAGAAGGTATTAAAAATTCGATCCGGACGAACTTATCTACTTGTTTGCTTGTTTAATATAATCCTTCTCAAACTCATATCATGCCAAACTTTATGGAAATCGATTCAAATATTAGTTTCCTCTGATTGCAGAAAAATGTCGTAAAAAGACTAAAGAATTATTCAAATCTATGTGATTACAATATTTAAAAACTTGTAGTATTTTGAAATCATAATAATATTAAACAATAAAATAATAATATCACATATTTTAATACCAAAATTCATCACTTAAAAAGTTCTCCAAAATCCTTACAATAATTCCCATAATCATAAAATTACAGTAATTTCCAAAGTAATAATAATACAAAATTTGTTCAAATTATAATTTATGGTGTGGCTCTCGTCCCAATTAACCGCGTTATTAATTAATATTAATGACAACAACAGCAAGTGCAAAACTCAACGGCAGACACAACAAGAACAATAAAAAAAAAAATAAAAAAGTAGACGAAAACAATGGCCACAAATTATCTCTTATAACACACAAAACAAATCATTAATTAATGCAAATAAGCGCGCAATGTGAATTTTGGAAAGGCGCCTGCGTCTTATGAAATACCAAAACACAACAAAAATAATAAAAAAAAAATCTTCAACTCAAACTAACCCATACAAATTCTCTCGTTTTTCTCTTCAAAAAATCTCAGCAGCGCATAGAGAAACAGATGGAATCAGGAAAATCCAGAAGAAAACTCACATAAAATAAAGAAATAAAAAACACACACAACAAAAAAGAAAAATCTCAACACAAGTGTAACTCTCCGCTCACTTTCAACACAACAACATTTTTTTACTCTCACATTGTGGATTAGAGAGTAAAAAAACGCAGCAAGACATTTCATCTCCAAGTGCAGAGAATAACAAAAAATTGCAATTACAACAACAACGAAAAAAGAAACAAATAATTTTTATAGTTCTCGAAAAGAGAGAGAAAGAGAGAGAGCAGCAGTAATCCTTGGCTCTTCCTTTTAGGAGTTTCGCGAAAAGGCAAGAAATTGCAACCTTGCCTCTTGGCCTTAGAGTTGCCAGGACAACATTTATTGAATTTCTGAAGTATCCAGTAAAAAACAACAGCCTTCAAAGTGGATTTAACAAATTACAATAAAATGCTGCAGGCGAGCAGTCAATATCTGCGGCCGGACTATTTGGCGGCACCAACTGCGGTAAGTAAATTTTATGATAAATAGAAATTATTTTTTATGGATAATCGGTAAAATCATAAAAAAAATCTCGGCTAAAGATACATCATAAAAATTCAGGATAATTGGTCTGCTGGTCCTTGGAAAAGTATATATAGTTGTATATAACAAAAGTTTCAAATCCGAGGATAATGCCTATTGGCGGTACTTCAAAGATATTCTTTAAGATTCCAATTCTCCAAAGATGTACTTTAAAACCCAACGCCTATGAGAGGTCCTTGAAAAAGTATTCTTTAAACTTCCATGCCTATGAGAGGTCATTGAAAAATAATTCCTTTTAATTCCACGCCTATGAGACGTCCTTGAAAAAGTATTCTTTAAAATTCCGACCCTATGAGAGGTCCTTAAAAATACTTTTTTTTAAAAATCCACGACTATAGGAGGACCTTAAAAATATTGTTTTTAAATCCACGAATATAGCAGGTCCTTGAAAATATATTCTTTAAAAATTCACGATGATGTGAGGTCCTTAAGAAACATTTTTTAAAAATCCGGGTCTATGTGAGGTCCTTAAAAAATATTTTTTAAAAATCCGGGTCTATATGAGGTCCTTAAAAAATATTTTTTAAAAATTCGGGTCTATATGAGGTCCTTAAAAAATATTTTTTAAAAATCCTCGCCTATACGAGATCCTTGAAAAACTATTCTTCAAAAATCTACGCCTACAGGAGGTCCTTGAAAAACTATTCTTCAAAAATCCACGCCTATGGGATGACCTTAAAAAAATATTCTTTAAAAATCCACGCCTATGGGATGACCTTAAAAAAATATTCTTTAAAAATCCACGCCTATGGGATGACCTTGAAAAATATTTTTTATAAATCCACGTCTATGAGAGGTGCTAAAAAATATTTTTTAAAAATCCACATCTATATGAGGTGCTAAAAAAATATTTTTTAAAAATCCACGTCTATTTGAGGTCCTCAAAAAATATTTTTTTTTAAAAATCAACGTCTAAGTGAGGTCCTAACAAAATATTTTTTAAAAATCCACGCATATGTAAGGTCCTTAAAAATAATTTTTAAAAATCTACGCCTATAGGAGGTTCTTGAAAAAATATTTTTTTTAAAAATCAACGTCTATGTGAGGTCCTAACAAAATATTTTTTAAAAATACACGCCTATGTAAGGTCCTTAAAAATAATTTTTAAAAATCTACGCCTATAGGAGGTTCTTGAAAAAATATTTTTTAAAAATCTACGCCTATGTAAGGTTCTTGAAAAAATATTTTTTAAAAATCTACGCCTATAGGAGGTTCTTGAAAAAATATTTTTTAAAAATCTACGCCTATGTAAGGTTCTTGAAAAAATATTTTTTAAAAATCTACGCCTATAGGAGGTTCTTGAAAAAATATTTTTTAAAAATCTACGCCTATAGGAGGTTCTTGAAAAAATATTTTTTAAAATCCACGCCTATGTGAGGTCCTTAAAAAATATTTTTTAAAATCCACGCCTATGTAAGGTCCTTAAAAATAATTTTTAAAAATCTACGCCTATAGGAGGTCCTTGAAAAAATATTCTTTAAAAATCCACGTCTATAGGAGGTCCTTGAAAAAATATTCTTTAAAAATCCACGTCTATAGGAGGTCCTTGAAAAAATATTCTTAAAAAATCCACGCCTGTAGACGGCCCTTGAAAAAATATTTTTTAAAAATCCACGCCTGTAGACGGCCCTTGAAAAAATATTTTTTAAAAATCCACGCCTGTAGACGGCCCTTGAAAAAATATTTTTAACGGCCCTTGAAAAAATATTTTTTAAAAATCCACGCCTGTAGACGGCCCTTGAAAAAATATTTTTTAAAAATCCACGCCTGTAGACGGCCCTTGAAAAAATATTTTTTAAAAATCCACGCCTGTAGACGGCCCTTGAAAAAATATTTTTTAAAAATCCACGCCTGTAGACGGCCCTTGAAAAAATATTTTTTAAAAATCCACGCCTGTAGACGGCCCTTGAAAAAATATTTTTTAAAAATCCACGCCTGTAGACGGCCCTTGAAAAAATATTTTTTAAAAATCCACGCCTGTAGACGGCCCTTGAAAAAATATTTTTTAAAATCCACGCCTGTAGACGGCCCTTGAAAAAATATTTTTTAAAAATCCACGCCTGTAGACGGCCCTTGAAAAAATATTTTTTAAAAATCCACGCCTATAGACGGCCCTTGAAAAAATATTTTTTAAAAATCCACGCCTGTAGACGGCCCTTGAAAAAATATTTTTTAAAAATCCACGCCTGTAGACGGCCATTGAAAAAATATTTTTTAAAAATCCACGCCTGTAGACGGCCCTTGAAAAAATATTTTTTAAAAATCCACGCCTGTAGACGGCCCTTGAAAAAATATTTTTTAAAAATCCACGCCTGTAGACGGCCCTTGAAAAAATTATTTTTAAAAATCCACGCCTGTAGACGGCCCTTGAAAAAATATTTTTTAAAAATCCACGCCTGTAGACGGAGATCCTTGAAAATATTTTTTAAAAATCCACTCCTATAGGTGATCCTTAAAAATATATTCTTTAAAAATCTATGTCTATGTGAGGCACTTTAAAATATTTTTTTTAAAAATCCACGCCTTTTTCTACGTGAGGTACTAAAAATATAATTGTTTAAAATCCACGTCTTTTTCTAGATGAGGCACTTAGAAAATATTTTTTAAAAATACACGCCTTTTTCTAGGTGAGGTACTAAAAATATAATTTTTTAAAATCCACGTCTTTTTCTAGATGAGGCACTTAGAAAATATTTTTTCAAAATCCACGCCTTTTTCTAGGTGAGGTACTAAAAATATAATTTTTTAAAATCCACGTCTTTTTCTAGGTGAGGCACTTAGAAAATATTTTTTAAAAATCCACGCCTATGTGAGGTCCTTAAAAAATATTTTTTTAAATCTACGCCTGCATAAGGTCCTTAATTTTTTTTTTTAAATCCACGCCTATGTGAGTTCCTTAAAAAATATTTTTTTTAAATCCACGCCCATGTGAGGTCCTTAAAAATATTTTTTAAACATCCACGCCTATATGAGGTCCTTAAAAAATATTTTTAGAAATCCTCGCTTATACAAGTTCTTGAAAAATGAATTTTTTTCCCATTACTTCCATCCCATTTGCCATGATTCTTCCCTTGCAACCCTTCCATTTTCTATGATCTCCTATTAAGTTACCATATTTTGCTTTCCATGTCAAAAAATCAAATCGATCACCACGATTCATGACCACTCATGTAACATCTTCGCTTTCAGCAAAACACCTATCCCATTTCAAAATAATAAAAAAAACTTAAAATAAGATCTAAGGCCACGGGTGTTGGAAGACATTTGTCGTTTTTCATGTTTGTCTCATTTTGTAATCGAGACGAATGAAATGCGGTTGCAGTCAATCTCCTCGCCAGCTCTAGCACCATCACTACCACCACCACCAAGTAACCACAACCACTGGTTTCCAATTTTAAGTATGTGTCAATTGGAATAGCTGGCAGAGAAAAAAATCGCTGTCTGTATAAGTTATTTGTTGGTGCAGTCGAGTAGAGTGCAGAATGCGGTTAAGCGGTTATTTTGTGAACCTTCTCCCCGGTAACTGACAGACAAACGGACAGACATACGGAATGACGTAGTGAGTGACATGAATAGTTGAGTGTATGTTTTTGTTAGGTTGGTTAGCTTTTGTGGTTATTTAATCAAATGTGAGTAGAGTATCCCCTTTCCAAAATGGGGAGGCTACAACAGCCACTAACTCGGAACAGCCATCAAAACATCTAGCCAGCCAGCCAGCCAGCCATCCGTCCATCCATCCTACCAGCCATCCATCCGTCCATGCATTTATTCAATTCTGAGTCTGTCCATCAGGTTACCAGCTGTGTAAGATAACACTGATTGATGTTTCGGTTTAGACAATCAGACACATGAAATGAGTAAATGAAGGAACAAAGCCAAAAATACAACGAAACGTCAAAGGAAAAGAGTTGTGTAAATGGCAATACAAAGCAAGGAGGAGAAAGAGATTTTGTTTGGTAAACAGTGGCTTGGTCGAGGCCTACATCATGCAGATGGGAAGTTATTAAGTTGTATGGATAATTAACTTTTCATAAAGATCAAAGGACACTCCAAGGATTCAAAAATATTTTGTCAAGGACAAACACAACAATAGGCCTGGATTTTTAAGGAATATTTTTCCAAGGACCAACTCAACAATAGGGGTGGATTTTTAAAGAAAATTTTTTCAAGGACAAAGAAACGTTGATTTTTAAAGAATAATTTTTTGAGGACCAAGAAACGTGGATTTTTAAAGAATAATTTTTTGAGGACCAATAAACGTGGATTTGTAAAGAATATTTTTTCAAGGACCAATAACGTGGATTTTTAAAGAATATTTTTTCAAGGACCAATAAACGTGAATTTTTAAAGAATATTTTTTCAAGGACCAATAAACGTGAATTTTTAAAGAATATTTTTTCAAGGACCAATAAACGTGGATTTTTAAAGAATATTTTTTCAAGGACCAATAAACGTGAATTTTTAAAGAATATTGTTTCAAGGACCTTCTGTAGGCGTGGATTTTTAACGAATATTTTTTCAAGGACCTTCTATAGGCGTGGATTTTTAAAGAATATTTTTTCAAGGACCTTCTATAGACGTACATTTTTAAAAGAAATTTTTTATGGACCTATAGGCGTGGATTTTTAAACGAATATTTTTTTAAGGATCCACAGACCAAGAAATGTGGATTTTTAAAGAATATTTTTCAAGGATCCACAGACCAAGAAACGTGGATTTTTAAACGAATATTTTTTCAAGAAATCACAGACCAAGAAACGTGGATTTTTAAACGAATATTTTTTCAAGGACCTTTACTCCAAGAAACTTGGATTTTCAAACGAATATTTTTTCAAGGATCCACAGACCAAGAAACGTGGATTTTTAAGGAATATTTTTTCAAGGACCCTCAGTCCTATAAACGTGGATTTTTAAGGAATATT